CAAAAGGTTTATTGTTTGTCACTTCCTGGGCGTCCTTTTGTCTGTTACTGTTGTGGACGTCATTTTTCATTTTCCTTTTCAAATCTTCGAGAGTTACTTCAGTGATATGGTCACCTAATACAAAAAAAACCCCTCAAAATGTTTATGGATCAAAGTGGTTTTTCTAAGTATCTCACATTACAGAGGCAGAGCAAAGAGGAGAAAATGGCAGTGGAGTTCTGTGTGACTATTGGACACACACACCTTGGACAACTCCACTCCTCACCTTCCTGAGACTAAAGGCATTGCCATTTCCTTCCACTGTGGTGTGAAATGACTCATTTGCAGCAACCCAATCTAAACTTGCCCTGTATATGGCACCTCCAGCCGAAAGGCTAACAAATGTGATCGCATTACTTTGACAAAACAAATGAAGAACTTAATTTAATGGGTTGGAGACATTCCTATGTGTCTACTTGTATCTGAGGCTACTGTAGTACTACCTATAAGCTTTTTACTGACAGCGTGTAGCACCACCTCTTTCTCCTGGGAGACACCACCCCCGTGAACCTATCAAACCAAACAACATCATAAATTGCACACCAGATGACATATTTTAGAGTCTAACCAAGATGACACAACAGCTGAGATAGACAGAATAGTGGCCAGCATGCCTCAGCCAGTATAGGCCTCCTCCTCTTATGATGTTTGTTTGAGTAGAGATATAACTAAAACATAATGCCTCCTTGCCAAGGTTACAGTGTCCTCTTTCTCAGGAAAAGAGAGAAAGCATTTGACCTGTGAGTCAATCTGTGTCTAAACCGAGGTATAACATTCAACACCTACCAACTTGAGTGACTAAACTGTAATTGACCACTGTTGATTTGCGCAATCTGTCCTCATTCAGAGTCATAACTCTTCTTACCGACCCCTTGCTTTTTCCCCCTTCAGACTGCTTCCTGTGGAGAAAGAGGACTTCCACCATGTCATAGCTAAAGTCATAGCTGCACTTGCGCTTAACAAATCTGCTGGTTTTGTCTTAGGTTCTCCACTCACAGTCACGGAGAGAGAGGAGTAACACTCACTGCTCCACACATTACACCCAAAAGGTGCTCTATTCTGAACCCTGCTACACTTTTACCTACAGAAGATGATGGTGAGCTCTGTAACTGACTGTGGGGATATAATTTCCTGTTTATCTAAACGTCACCCTGACCTTTCGGCTTACGGCTTTCTCCAACTCAGATCTTGCACTAATGAAAGCTTGTCACCTATTCAATTCAGTTCAATTTTATTTATGTAGTGCCAATTCAAGACAAAAGTTCTCTTATTGCACTTTCATATATAGCAGGTCTAGACCGTACTCTTTGTGATTATTATTTTAGAACCAACAATTCCCACCATGAGCAAGCACTTGGCGACACAGACCAGGAAAAACTTCCTTCTAAGAGGCAGAAACCTCATGCAGAACCATGGCTCAGGGTGGGCGGTTATCTACCTTTCAAAAAGGTAAAACAGTTACCCCCTACCATCTGGATGTTTGCATTACTTTAGTATCATTACATCCTCAGGGACACTCATGAAACATTGCCAATTGTTTGGTGATTTGTTAAATGCATGCCAAATACCCATTTCTTGCTGATGATCCTGATTCAATGCATCCAATGCAGCTGTTTTCTATGAGTGTTGAGATATAAACAGATTCTCAAACTCACCAGAAGTCTAAACTTGCAGGAAGTGAATGGCTGCCTCCCCTGGTGCTAGATATCCCAGAATGGTGATCCTATGCAACCAATGAGAAAATGATCTCATATAATGTGACCTAACCTCAGCTGTTCAGCCAACCCATTCTCAGGCAGCGACCATCCAGTTTCCTCCAAGGGACAAACCATGCCACACCATGCTGCATCAGAGAGCTGCACCAACAAATGCCCTGAAAGCCTAGATTACCACCACCAAGTGTGAGGGTGGTACTACTTGGGTTCACGCTATATGCAGGCTATGCACCAGAAATCGAGAGGATCCCCCCTCTTTGCTTATGTAGGCATTGAACTAGCAGGCTCCGGTGTCCCAGAAGTAGACTTAGGACACCCATAGTCGTCAGAGGAGCAGAGAAAAGGCCTGAGTGGATTATACATAACAAACAGAGAAATCCAGACACCACAAATGGGGCTTTTTTAGATACCAAGAGAGGAAAACACCTAATTATTATGAACCACAGCCCCCAACAAACACATACTATTTCAAACCCTAAGGACTGTTGTGTGGGGATTCATCAGTGGTTCAACGTTTTCTGTCACGCCCCCCTTTAGAAGACGAAAAACGTTCAAGCCGTCCAACTCCAGCAAAAGTGGATTTCATTTTTATCAATCATTTACAACACAGGCAATTGAAATAAAACAAAAGATTCAGGTAGGCAAAATAGCCTTGCACGCATCACCTGCCCCCCCCGCCCCCGCCCTTTATTAGTTCAGAATTAGTTCAGAATTAGTTATTATAATGGTTATTTATTATAATTTTTTATTATAATGAAGGAAAACACTTTGTGAAGGCAATTCAGCAAACTCCTGAACTGGACTTGAATGATTTTCTTCAACAGCTGGCAGATTTTGTTCAGGCAGGCTAGTTCTTTATAGTCTTTGTAATATGCTCACCTCAGCTAACCAGATGCAGGTTTTCACTTCATTTTTAACATACAGACTTGAGAGTAGTACCAATCTTCTCATCTACCTTTCTCAAAATCTCAAGGTGCTGCTTATGATCAATGAACTACCAGGTTTGTGGTGAGGTAACCAGAGAAGAGCGAAGGCAGGTTGTTATGTAAACTAGATAATACCAGTTTTTATTAGAAGATTACACTCTAAAAAGAATTTAAGACAAATTCATTTCAGAAGGAGAACAACTTATCAAATCAGCTTTTTCTACTGTATTAAAATCTGTAACATCAAATTTGTGCATGTTGTTCGTCTTCTTGTTTTATGTTTACAAGCAAAAATATGTCTTTTTACACACATCTTTTTAAAAAGAACACTATGTACATTATGGAAACATCACATGCCACTGAATTTCTCATGTGGGAGGGAGGCAGTGCTTTTGATATTTAACCAACCCGCCGCCATCACCGTGAAAAACTTCAAGTAATCTCTTATAAAAAATAGAACATTTTTATTTTCCCCTCTGAAAAAAGGTTTTTCTGAAAATACACATATGAACAGCATTACAAATTGGCAATGCATAGCCACTATTATCAGTCTTAATTTCATAAACGCAAAGAAGCATAATAGAATGACAAAGCTGCAAATAATAATATTAAAGCAAAAAAAAATTAAGATTTTTGGACTCCAGAAGCAGAGCAGACTGAGGTTGAGGTGTGACCGTGGGATGAGGCGCTGGTGTGTTTCTCTTTTCAAATGTGCTCTCTTCAAAGAATGTCGAAGTGTCTGCTGTAAACTGTTTAGAGAGGATGAGGAGACACGGGAAACCTGTGAGGTGGGGGACAGAGGCGAGGGAGGCGTGCGGTGGCTGAATAATGTTACTGGGCTTGGGGGGAAAAAAAGGTTTTTAAAAAGCGTTGAAGGGAGGAGATCTGGCTGTTGAGGTGGAGGTGAGGAAGAGTTTTTTGGAGTCGAGGAAGAAGGGCACAGAGGTTGGGAGAGAGGCTGGAGTTCCCTGCCGATGTTGGCTTTGCTGTCAGAGCTGTCCGTGCGTGGGTCTGCAGGTGGAGGTGGTTAGCAGTCGCTGGTTTTCGCCCTGTCACAAAGACACAAAGTATTTAAAGAGGCTGAACTCAAACTATTTTCTACCAGAGTGAAGCTGTGATCAAGAGTGATCAAAGGAACTTACTTAGTGCCTTCAAGCTTGGTCACGTTTAAAAGATAAAACGAGGCCGAGCTGATACAAAGGAAGGTTTGCTCAACTCTTAGCAGGAGCTGTGGCATGATACAGTGTCTTGGATCACTTTGGTCTTACCAACATTAGATTGATTATCGGTGCAAAGCAGCCATGATGTTTAATAAGCAACATTTCACACTGTGTTCAAATGTTCGTTTAGTTATTGCAGAGGATTAAAGCACAGAATTAGATTTAATTATCTGTGAACATCTTTGATGTAATCTTGAGCTCCGGGAATTTCAAGATGAGCACTTTGGCTTACAGTGCTGTAATGTTTCAAATCTGCCACAGGAAGGAGATCATGTAGACATGTAAATCTGCTAGCACGGCTGATGCTGCCCAGCTGCTTGGCTTTAGATGTAGTGTGTGTGTGTGTGTGTGTGTGTGTGTGTGTGTGTGTGTGTGTGTGTGTGTGTGTGTTTTACTGCTAAAACCTAATCACATCAGCATTACTATTAAATGTAACTTCTACAAAGAACTGAATCTTTACAGAATGATTATCTATAGAGGTCTAACAATACTTTAATTGACATTCATCGTAAAAACTATTCTGATATTCAAATAGTTGTGCAAGTAATTTTCTAAGCAAAAATATCCAACACTCCCTTGTTTCAGCTTCTTCATTTTGCGGATGGAGCTTATAGTAAACTGATTATTTTTGGGTTTGGACAGTTAACAAGACATTAGCCACCTTTGGCTATTGATTGACAGATAGATGAATAATGAAAATAATAGATAGTTGCAGCACTAAATAAATTTAATAAACTACAGCAAAAAACGACAAAAATGTTTGATCGTCCTCCAGCCTATTTAATCAACAAAGCCCCCCCGACCATAAATTTCCTGATGAATTTTGAACATCCAAACATCCATTAAACCTTTAACAAGGCCAACTGAAGCAGTTTAAAACCCGCAAACTGTTTAGGAGCGCTGCCATGCTATGGTCCTGAAGAAACGTAAAGAACTCTTAAAACGTCTCTGAAAGTTAGGAGAAGCAGCAGCAAATCACAGTAAACATGCAACAAACCTTAATGAGCCCCAACTCATTCAGTGTGATCAACTGACAGCCAAAACCAGGACTAGGATTTGCTCTTTATTGGTGAGTTACTTTAATATGTCCTTTGTATGATTGTCAAAGGAACATTAATGATTCTACATTCTCGGTCCTAGACACCTTACTTGTGAACAAAACAGCAGCACTCTTAATTTGCAAAGCAGTGGTTTAGTGAAAACTTTAGTGGTTGTTGATTTATAACAGTGTCTTACGCTGGCTTGCTCGATAACATTTTACAGGATTTAACAGACAGTTGAAACGATGCCACCAAAATGTAATCTATGATGCACGCTTTAAATTAGCACCTTGCATTATTCCAACTCAATTTGACATTTCAGAGCTTCAACAACCATAAACCACAAACACTACACTCCCACACACACACACACACACACCATGCTAGAGCGCAGCCAAAATTAACAAAACCACAGGAGCAAAGCGAATAATGAAAACAAGAACAAAACCTTAATAGAAACAAAAACATCGCAGCCACACACACACACCTCCATGTACAAGAGTGGTCGCTCTTTCTACTAGCTGCAGGTAAACTTCATCCTTTAAATGTGCTCCTGGTGGTTGTTGTTGCTGCCACAGAGGGGGGTACAGATACACTGCCCCCCGCTGGACAGGCCAGCTCTTGTCATGTGCAGCAAATGCAGCCCAAACTGTCCGAGAAGAACCACAACAGCAGAGTAAGACCTCATCAGAAATGGCGCAGTTTGGGCCGAATTACTGGAATAACACTGACACATGTCACACAACAAAGGAAGGTTTCTCAGAAATGACTTAATGAGCATTTTTTTTTTGGAGGTGCACAGTCATCAGAAATAAGTGCATCATCAGATCTAACTGTCCCGCCTTTGTGAGAACATGAAGTAGAGCTCAGTTAGCTAGACTGGTGGCTTCACACTAAACGACTGAGAATGCTGAGAGAAAAGGAGAAAATTAGAAATGGAGAGAAAATGAATGCCTCAGCTCTGCATGAAGTCTGACTTGTGCTATTAGGAAGTTGAGTCATGCACTGGGAAAGCCTACTTTGATTCACTCTGTGGGATTAAAAGAAGTTAAGCTGAAAAAAAGACTCATATCTAGACTAAAGGTAACTACAACACTGAGCAAGCAGAGTGAGGTCAGATTTTCTACATGTCAACATTATTTAGTGATTGCACCAACACCAGATCTTTTCTTAACACGTACTTGGCACAGACTAGACACAGCAAGTAAAACAGAAGTTGCACTGTGACGGTGCATGACATAAATCATCCTGGAAGGTAACAACACTTTTGTGTGCTTTGTGTATGAAAAATAAATGTGTTTTTTAACCAAAAGACTTAATCTTAACCTTTTTCTCTTCTTCTCTGAATCATTTGTCCTGGGCTTGCTGTGGGGTGTCTTCGCTGTTCCTGATTTGGAGATACTGTCTTCTCTGCGTCGTTTGCTGTGTAAAAAAAAAGAGGAGGGAAATGGGTGAAAAGTTGTTTGGCCGTCTGCCAAAGATGAACTGTCCCTTTATAATGGCATGATTACTACCAGTAACTGTCTTCACAGACTAGCTTTGCTTTTTTGTGGGAATCATGTCACCTTTGTCAAGTTGTTTGAAAGAGCAATTAGCTTATCACCACTGATTCAGATAATTTATCAATTGATTATGACATAATGGTTAACAATTGGTGCGAGTGTACTGACTGTGTTGTGCTGCTGTCCAGCTCTTGTTCCTTGCAGGGAGACTGTGTGGGTACTTTGCCATCCTGTCTGTAGTCGCCTCCCTCCTCTAGCTGACCTCCCCGCTGGCTGCCATTGCACCGCTCTGTCGGACACCTGGCTTGAGTCTGATTTGAAGGGGGAGACTCCGATTTGGGTTCCTGATCTTCCCTGGACAACTCCTGCCACCGGTTCTACACAGGGAGAATAACAGACCAAGAGAAGAGGAAGATAGTTTACTTTCAACTTTATTTTCTAGTAATGCAATAAATAAATACAAAAGAATTTGAGTGGGATATATTTCAGACCTTTAAAAAAAGGCCATAATTGGTCATGATGTTTGTAAAATCAGTGTTTCCCATTAATTAACGAGACCATGGCGGCCCGCCATAGTCTAAATTTGCGCCGCCATAGTTTCAAAATGACCCGAAAATATTTTTACACATCTCTTAATAACATTACAGACCTCTAACGTTGGGTTTTGTGGGCGCTGCTGTAAGCTCGCACGCTCACACACTTTGACATCTGACTCGAGACAACCACTTTTATTTTGAGGTAACTATGGTAACGTTAATGGTCTGTTTCTGTCACTCGTTTGTGAGAAGGCGATTAAGCTAGCCGCGCCTAAATTTGGAGAGCACATGCATTCAAGCCTTTATGGTAATTCCACTGTAACGGACGGGTGCGAGCTGACAGGCAGGTTAGCGACTTTATCCAGTCAGTTTCTCTCTTTACAAAGACAAGTGTTGCAGTATGAGAGTCCTACCTGAAGAGAGGCTGTGAAGTCTTCATGTTACGCGATACAAGAAGCACATACAACATTATTTATCAAATTGGGTTGGACTTTGACTTGAATTTAGCGCGAGGATACACGTGACAATGTCCGGTTTGCAAATTAAAGTGTCTATACAGTATGGAAATAAGATTCATTGGATTATATTCACAGAAAGTATAAAACATATTATGTGTCCAATACAAAAAAAAAAAAAAAAAAAAGAACTACAATAAAATGTTAGGGAAATTACTTATTCTATTTTCTATTCTTTGATTTGGGTTTTTGGAAAAACATAAAATTAATTTGTTGACTTTTGTTGCTGTTTCATCACCCTCAAATAGTTTGTTAGAGCACAACATTATTTACAAGCGTACAAAGTTCTTCATAGATAGCCTCTTAATTTTGCACCAAATTAATACATTTAACTTTAAAATGTACAAAATTTTCTTCCGGGGTGGGGGGCATGCCCCAGGACTGCCTACCATAGTCTCTTTAAATCCTGTGGGAAACACTATAAAATCATACGATGGAGTGATGTTCTGTGTACGACAAGAAACTAAGCTATTAGCCTAATCATGCATGATAACGACAGCCCCATACTGCAGCATCGTGAACATAAATCCCTGCTCTTTATCTGTAAGTATTCAGTATCGGCTTGAACAAAATACTATAGTTTGATACTTTAAATTTGTTGTAAGTCAATACTTCTTGACAAAAGTCAATAAGCTGCAAACAATCCTCCTCCTATGAGTGCCGGCCCAGAAGAAGCGTGAGGCTGAGCAAATATGAAAGAATTTCAGTTTCAGCCTCAGTGATTGTGGGCTGTGATAAAAGTTAAGGACCTCGTAACATGTGAAGGAAAATGCTGTTTATAGAGACCAGTGGGTGAAACAGAATTCAGGTAGATACAAAAATGAATGGCATGGGCTTGTAAAATTGACCTCAATGTCTACTACTGTCCAGGCTATCGTCTAAAATAGTGCCTGGAAACATCATATTTTGACATTAGTTTTTAACCTCTCGGACTGCATGAATTGAGACAGTAGTTTCTATTTGTGTCACTCACAGAAAAATGTCAAGGTTGAAGTAGGATGCAATGTAAATGTACACGTGTTTGTTTTCCCTTCATCATGTTTCAACAGTGTAAAATCTAGCCGCTTCTCATATTAATACACCTCTCTATCATTCTTATATTGTTTCCCCTCTCATTTCAAAAGCAAGATTTGAGTGTGCACATGCCTGGACGCCCAGCGATAAGCTGGGAAATCCACAATAGCCTTGTTTCATATACGGCACATACAGGTATTTACATATACATACCTCCTGTCAGTGAATTAATGTAGTGGATAAACTTTTTTTTCTTGTCTAGTCTAATCAACCTCAAGTAAATAAGTTCAATGGAAACTCCACATGGGTTTATTTGGTAAATAATATATATTTTTAATTTTACATTGTTCACACTGTGGCTCTCTTGCTGACAAATGTTTATTCCCCTTAATTTACCAATCAACTGACCGACCTCCACTGCCACACTTTTGTGTTTTTCTCTAAAGCCAAATTCCTAATTCAACAGAGGCCTAGAGAAACTCACAAACCAACAGTGCTGTCTGTGTTTGAACTAGATAAACAAAGGTTAACAAGAGAGTAAGTATAATATTTAAACAATATGTATTCTGGTTTGACACTAAACCTATTACACCACTATCCAGTTTCACAAAGCCTGGGAAGAGCTGAGGGTTATTTAAAAGTTGCTCTTGTTTGAGTTCAATATTCTTTCTCCAAACACGATACATTCAGGCTGTCATACGCAAACCAGAATCCACTGAAAAACAACACCATTTATCACACTACTAAATCTTAATCTTTTTAAACTCCCACTGGGAAAACAGGCAAACACTAGATACAGAAATATATCCGATTTTCACCTGGCATTAAAATGGGTTTTGGGTGATCAGATTACAATCGGATAGAGCTCGACCACATGAAAAAACAGGTGTAAAGGGACTCAAGACGCACTGAGGTTGGATTGGGAGCCAATCAGTCTAGATGCCATTGCGTCGTCAGTCCATATACAACAACTACGTGGGCAGAAATACATACTGGTCTCAGTCTCCCACAAATAAAATCATACTGCACATACAGTATGTGTCCATACAGTGGACAGTAAACTGAACATATCCGTTTGTGAACGTGAACTCCTGCACTGCTGAGTTCAATATGAACTACTAATATAACAGAGAGAGGTAGCGCAAGGAAACAATGCCAGGTGGAACTTAAGTTTCACATTCAGAGACGGCTCAGGAAAATATTATAGAGCAAACGAGAGGAGGATGTGACGGTTGTTTGAGCTGTATAGAGCGATCGGATCTTAATGTGGACACTGGAGACAAATATTAATAGCAGGCGTAAATGTTATCAGGTTAAAATCATATCTAAATACAATCTGGATACGAGATATATTTTAATGACAGTTGTGAAGGGGGCAATTGCGGAAAAGAACGCGTCAGAATGAGTAAGGGAACTGGTCGTGGTGCGCGCGTTGCAGGTACCTGTACAGAGGAGTCTCCCATGATGCACTTGGCTCCTTCGAGAACAGCCATGTAGGAGAAGCGCAGCTGGTCGGGGGTCTGGATCAGGCCCATACGGTACTTCCTCATGTTCAACAGGATGCTTTTGATGTCCACTGATGAGGGGTCTTTCCTCTTCTCCATCTGGACAGGAAAGCAATGGAAATTAGCTCAACTAACCAGGATGAATCTCCATTTCCTCGATACCTGGTGACTCAGCTGTTTGTTGGGTTTCTGACACTGTGACACATCACCGGTCTGTGACAGTGACTATAGTGCAGCAGTTTTGGCTGTAAATGACCATTTTTAGTATCCTGTTTGTCTGTGATCTGGCTCATCTACCCCTACATCAACCTATATTCACCCTATCTTTAAAAAAAACAAATAACTTTTTCTTAATACTAACATACCGTTTTATTACCAAAATGTCTTATTTGTTTTAGTATTATTGTTATTGTTTTATCTTATATTATATATTAAGGGGGTGGCGATGGAGCAGTGGATAAGACTAATGCCTTTGTGTGGGAGACCTGGGTTCAATTCCCATATGACATCCGCCCTGAGCAAGACACATAACCCCACTTAATTACTGCAGAGGCGTGCAACCACAAAATCACATAATAGTGAGTTTAACCAAATTCTGAACCAGGTGTCAATCAGAAAACAGGTTTACTTACACAAGTATTCTGCTATACTCTAAATATACCATTTGGTGTTCAAAATATTTTTGAAACAGATTTTGTGATCATGCAAAATGTTAAAAAGGTAAAATCCAAACCCATTTGGATTCTGGCCTATGGGAATATTTTGTAAAAACATATAGAACAAAGAGGAAGGACTTACCAGGACCACACACGTGTCGACTAACGAAAACGTCCCAGAGCGTCCGATTCCAGCGCTGCAGTGCACTACAGCCGGCCCGTGATCCACCCCCAGCGCTCCCGACTCCCGCACTTTGAAGAGGAAGTTTAGGAAGGATGCCGGGGACTCTGGGACACCAAAGTCAGGCCACGTGGTGTAATGAAAGTGGTAGATCTCTCTCTTCTCCCCCGTCTGTGAAAACAGGCAAGCAGACGCCTCATTAGCAGGTGCTAAACATTTATTATACCATTCATTTTCAGTGAGCCAGTCAGTGCTGACATTCATCAGTTCTGTTTGAGGTGCCTTGAGGTCATTGTAGTGCTTGTTTAAGTAGTGTGTGACAGATGCAAAAATTTACAGTTTCAGTTTCTGTAAAACCAGGTTCTGAAAACTTGACACACCAAAACAGCAAAACACGACGTGTGTGTACTTATTTCTCACACTTATTTTTCTTGTTGCACCCATGTCAGTTAATTTTTTATTTAGTATAAAAAATGTGTGTTCATTTTGGAATATAAAGGAGTGGTGAAAGATGGATAACAGAATTTCTTTGTTTGGACAAAAACCTGTATTTTAAATAGCGCTCTGCTGCATAATCTGCAGCTCATTTGAATTTTACACACCTACATGCTACCGAAACGTTGGATGTGTGTGTGGGAACATAAACTCTGTGTAATCTGCCTTAAAGTCTGTGGAAACAAACAACAATGAGCCTCAGTAATGAACAAGGATGTTTTCAGTTCTAAGAAGCCTCGGACAACACAGGTCCTTGTGATGCGTCTTGGTGTTACACCCCTGAACCATTTCAGTTTTCCTTTGCCACCTTTTACTAGGAATTCCCCTTTTGCTAAGTAATAATCTGTCCTACATTAATATTCTGCAGCTCCAGCACTCTGGTGGTGTAGTAAGACTTGGTGTCTTCTGACAACAGCGTGACCAAGAAACGTGTGTCTCTGAAGGCCATCTCCCTCTCCTCAGCAGTGGGCCAGTACTGGGCGCACTTTTCCTGTCACAGAAGGAGAAAGGGGACAAACCTGGTAAGAGATACCAAACAGGTTAAACATCTGACAAAGGAAAAACACCTGATGAAAAGCAGACGCTGGCTGAGTGGCCAGGTTGGCCTCGAGGGAAAGCAGCTGACGACTAACAGGAGGGACAGTCTGATCCTCAGCACAGAGAGGGAAGCTGGATTAAAAATAAAATCCATTTTTCTATGCCTTTGTCTTCTCTCTTCCCACACATACCTGCACGGATTTTGTCTTTACAGCTTCTCACATATTACTACTAGGTATTTTTCACTTTGTGACTACAGTCCTCACATAACACAGTAACTTGACTGCACCACTACATTACACATCCCCACCAAAATCCCCCCCTCTTTTTACAAGTATTTAAATAGTTCTGTTTCCTTTTTTGTTTTGTAAAGCAGTGGTTCTCAAAGTGGGATCCGGGGACCCCCAGGGTGTCCCCAGCTAAAGGGGGAATCATTTATTTTCACTATAATTCCATCCATAGTGACTTAATGCATGAATATTTTGGTCATGAATTTCTTATACTTTCTAGAATAAAAAAATCTAATAGCCAAAATCCTATCAGATGGTGGTCCTGGGACTAAATCTTATCAAATGGGGTTCCGTGGTCTAATTTGTGTCAGTTCAGGGGTCGTTGACGTGAAAAAGTTTGAGAACCACTGTTGTAAAGCACTTCGTTTGAGGTACATTTCTTGCATGAAAGGTGCTATATAAACAAAATAAATGGAATGAGAATAGAATAAACTAAATTAATGTTTATTATTATAAAACAGTAGTGGAAACAAATCTAGCTTAGACAAAGTTAATATGAGAGGCCTGGCTCAAAATAATTCCACTTAAATAATGTCAACAGTACTTTTCAGGGAACAGCAAGTCATCCGTCTGTATTGTGGTCAAATACTGTGATAAATACTTAAGTTATGTCTACGACTAACGTCTCACTGTACAGTATATTCTTAGTGTTTTTTCAGTAAACAGACAATGGCCAGACCTGTTGAGGATAAGGCTATTATTCAACCCTCCCTCTGCAGGATTGGAGAGCTGGCCTACATAAAAGATCCTTGTGAGGTTAATACTATCTGTGGACTAGGTGCTCTTTATCTTCAATTTCCAAGAAAACAGCCAGTGAGTGAATCTCATGACTGAGCGAGATTCACTCCAGCTGCTTTACTGAGAAAGAGAGGGAGAGAGAGAGATCGCAGCTGCTGCGTGTGAGATAGTTTCTGCGTGACTGTGTGTATGTTTAATGTGTTTTAATAAGGACACTGCAGGATAAGAGCAGAGATGTTGGGCTGCCCCCCTGCTCCTCGCGTACATCTGTGAACACGCTGTCAAAACACTGAACTCCTGTTATCCTGCTGGCAGGAGAGTAAAGCTTCAGAGTGGAACCAAAGTTACAAGATTAATTCAACAAGATGCATTAATCATTTCACACTGTCAGCAGGCTGCAAACCTTGAGAAATTGTGTGTGTTGTTTTTCTGTGGTCTAGTCAGAACTTTTGCAGCCTGTGTGGGTGCATACGCACCAGACAAATGACAAACCCAACAATATTTTGGTCTTTTTTATTATTGTGTACTTACTGAGCCTTTCTCAATGACCCTGTTGAGCATGATGACTGCCTTGGTCTTCTGCTCCCAGATCATGAGCCAAAAGTGGCCACAGGTGTTCCTGAGGGGGCCCTGTGGACAGAAACACACATAGCAGGAATTCAGTGGGAAGTCATTTAAAATGGAAATGTGTGTTATCTTCCAGGCATGAACAATAATTTTACTGTAGATCCACTGAATGCAATAGCTAAGCTACTGGCTGAGAATTGTCTTTATCAATGCGATCAACAAGATTTGCAGAATGATAAGAGTTTAGTGAAAAGATCAAGACTACTAAAGGTTATATTGTGGTTGAGTTGAGAAAACTGCTCTCAGTAAGATTCAATATCTTTGAAGGTCAGATGTATATCAAATAATTCTGAATACATAGCATACACAAAGGCATGGAGAACACTGAGATATTGTCAACATGTCTTTGCGTCAGTAACAGGATTAAGAGAAATACCACCATGTACAGTAACACAATGTTTGATGTCACATAAATTAGGATGCAAATAAACAAAGCACTGTGAAATAAAAAAAACACCTGCCATTTTGCTTTTGATTCCACTATTTGAGGAAACCGAAAATTCACTGGACAGAAGCAAACATTATCTCAAATTTTGCACACATACTTTGAAAACAATTAAAATTGCCACCGTCTTGCGTTGGCACACATTCAGTGCATGTTATTGAGCATCCAACAAAGTATTTCACTTTGACATTGGTTGACATTTTTCGCTCGTTAACGTCCAAAATGTCTGCCTGTTGTCTAACTCTTGCTTCTAGAACTACTTGGAGAGGCTAAAATTCACCTTTACTGTAAGAAACCTGATGTTTTAGTCTTGTTGTGTTGAATTGAGCAATTTTTCCGTGGCTTCACATTACTGAAGAAGATTTCAGTGCACAGTGATCAATATCATTTGATAAGATTATATAGCCTTTATGGATCCCACACTGGGGAAATTCACTTGTGACAGCAGCTCCAGATACAACTCAATGGAAAATAGACATTAAATACAAGATAAAAGAGAAATAGAAAAATAAGAGTTATATGTACACTATATAGACATTTTATATACAGATGTGATTGATAGGGAACATTGCACAGCAGAAGGTAGTGGCAGAGTGTAGAAATAAATATAATTGCATAGGACAGAATATTTACAACAGTGTAGTTTACTGACAGTGAACAAGAATCAGTTTCAACAGCCCAGCCAAGAAAAAAAAAAACATCACTTTGATAATAAAAGTGGTTATTTGCCTTTTTATTTCCTGAAGACGAGATGAAAATATTCAAAATGTGGGAACCCCCTGAGTTAGGCTTCTGTTTTCGGGGACCAATGTTGATGCCTTTGGCTTTACAAATGACTTGACATCATTCCATCTGAGGCATCGGCCTTCAATAATTATAGTAAGTAACAATATGTTGAAGAGAGTTGGGAATATTTCACACAGCAATACCCATGAAAATCCCCAAATGTTGTGTCATCCTACATGAATAAAACACTGTCAAGACCAAAATGTCACTGCTTCTAAAATTATATTTAAGCAATTTTCTTCTCTCTGCCTTTGATTTGCCTGGTTTATGGATCTGTAATTACACAAGTAGTGGTGGTATATTTTATTCTGAAATGCAATCATCGCACAAATACTCACTGACTGAGTTAAAACAGGAAATTACTCTAATCCATCTGCTAATGTGACTGGTTGTGTAACACAACAAATTGGCTTTTAGATGGCAGTTTTTTATCCTTAAAATAGGGCTGCACGATTAATCTAATCGCAATCGTGATGTCTTTATGTGCGATTACATAACTGCAAAAAGTGTGCGATTTAAGCAGAAAAAGTGTGTGTGTGAGACTCTCCTCTCAGTTTGTGCTACAGTCTGCTCACTATCTCCGCCTACACCGGGCTGTCACATGTGCCCCTAAAAACAGATAAGTACGAACCACAAAAAGTAATTTATAGGCAGTGAGCGAGTAACGTTGAAGACAACAGCCTACCGTAACTCCCCCCTGCTAATCGTTGAAAACATACCCGGACTCGCCACCGGAGCAGCAAGAAGGACATTAAAAAAAATCTGACATGCTACAGCGAATCATTAAATGTTGAACAACATGATTATTGACAAGTGAATACTTAGCATTAACAAATTAGAGATCAATATAGATAATTTTGCTTGCACCAGGATTAAATAAATAAGAACAACCCACAGAAATGAAACAGCTGTAACTGGATTTAATAATCAACTAGTGGTAAAATAGTATACTATTAAATGAAATTATAATGAATATAGTAATTAATATATTAACATTATACTAACAGTTTACTATTAACTGAGCATCATACTCTTTATTTAATGTTATAATATTATGCTAATACACTCATGTATACTAGTTCCTCCTCCAGGTTGTGGATAGAGCCTCTGCATTACACAGATGTAGATTTAGACCTAGGATGCCAGTGTGCCAATATGTGCTCCTTTTAGCCATCTCCTCCTGAGAGCAACATGAACCCTTTGTTCTGTTTTACTAAAGTTATTGTTATAAATATTGTTTGTTGTTTAATTTTGTTCAAGTTGAGAAAAACACATTTCAAAGTCACTATTTCATGCATTTTCCTTTATAATTAAGCAAGTACACTCCAAGCAAGTACAACCATTTGTTCCATTATAATCAAATCGCAATCACAATATTGTCCACAATAATCAATTTTTTCGATTTTTCTCAAATTGTGCAGCCCTACTTTAAAATAATGGTGAGTACTTGCAAAACATTTTCCCACAAGCAAATGTCAATACCAAGCAGCTGACTTGGATCAGACTTGGGGTCTCCAACTAAATGGAAAGTATATCCGACAAGGGTCTTCCTGAGACAGATTATCCTCTGGAGGTTTATTTATTTGCAATTTGAAGTCAGTTTAGAGACACATTTTAATAGTTTTACTCCTTGCTATGCAAGTTAAAATTCATCTCAAGGCTGCGGTTTGTTCTGTTATATGCATGGCTACACATAAACAATGTTGTCTGTAGGCAAGAGTGTTGTGAAGACAATACATATGACACACATTAATGTTGATTTATTTTAGTTTTTAAATAACCTTGATCAAGGTCAAAACTTTTTGTATGGTCCGTTATATGTAGAAAGAAAGGATATAAAATAGAGCCAGTCTAACTGTCTTAAGTTATAAATACACCTTGTGATATTATCATTCTTTTAGTCTCCATTTTCCCAGACTTAACACACTTATTAATACTTATTTCACTTATTACAAGTCTATATAACTGTACATAGCTAACTGTAGCACGTCATCATTAAAAAAAGCTTAGTTACAAAATACTGTATGGCCTCTACATAAATATTTCTTTACTCTTCATCAATCATTATTTACCGTTTTGAAATTGAAACACGCTCCTACATTTCAAAAGATATGGCATCAGAAAGATCATAACATTAACCAGCTCTACTTGTTTTTGTAGCTACGTGGCCACATAAACCCACACAAGTTGTCGTAAAACCACAAACACACTCCTTCAGTTGACATTACACAGTGATGCAGAGACTGTACTCATCACTAAAAGCACATGCACTGTGGGCTGTTTGGTTATACAAACCAAAGAAATGTGACAATGTCACTTTAGGTATTAAAGGTTAAGATGTGTTACAAACCAAACGATTAGTCAATTTATCCAAAAGATAATAAGCAAATAGGCATGATTGTTATTAGTGGAATAAAAAGCCTTGGACTTACCTGAGTCAATATGTAACTTCTCTGGGCTTCCTCCATGACCACCAGACTTGCATTGATGTAGTCATTTTCTGTGCTCTCCAGCTTCACCCGACTATGATCAACTGGAGGCATCAAAATTAAAAAGTATTATTATTATAAGAGATCTTTAGAAACGTCACACTGTGAGCAGTTTTAACTAATATGTACCTACATGGACTGACATCTCTGTATCTATTACGGTTGCGATTCTCTGGATACTTTGCCACTTTGTAGGAGCACTCGTGGGACTGATTCCTAATTTCCTGAATACAACAGAAAGACCGTTTTAGAAACAAGAAATCGACACACACAGTGATCAGAGCGAGCAGGAAACATATGTCATCCTATTTGAAAAGTTGACATCCAATAATCAGTGAACAAACACAGTTACTTCCATCACTAATGTGGAGAATAAAACTTGTAGAGGTGTATAACAGTCAAACAAGTGAATAATTTAGCTATGTAACGTAGCTTACGTTAATCACTGTGAGCTTCAACCACATGCACAAGCTTAAGACACTTGACAATGCTTAACGTTACGGTAACATTAGCAGTGTCACACATCTATACACAAACTGAAAAAAAACTTAAAAACAACCAAACCAAAGGTATCAAAAAAATTAGCGATGTTTAACAGGCTCAATATGGGATACTTGACGAGCTAGCCGAACTGTTAGCTTGCTAAATTAAATGCGCGCTTGAAGTACTGACTATTTACGTTAGCTTTATGCTAGCTTTGCTAACAGACTTACTAGGTAGAGTTTTTGCCACCGGCCCTCTGAATCTATGTCTTCAAACTCCTGGTCCATTTTCACTGTGGCTAAGCCAGTCTATTTCAATCAAGATATGTGTTATTACTTGTCTGACAATCTACCTCATTACGTTAGTCAGGCTAGAGAAGCTTTTGGTCAAAGAGTTATTACTTCCCTACGCTAACGACTTTCCGCCAACTGTTTGTCCGATTTCTCTCTGGTGCAGTTGACGTCTGAACAAGTAAAACGTGCGCATGCGCCAACAGAGGTCCTCCAGGAGCTGTCAAACCATACGCAGCAAAGATATTCAGCGAATAAGAGAGATGTCAAACAACTAGGTCACTGTTTTGCAGCCATTCACGTTTTTTAATTTGGAAAAGGTTCTTGTGTATTAATTCTTTTGACAGTATTTTCTATGATTTCATTTCACAACTTTTAGGCGCAGTTGTTCTGATTTAGAGTATTATTAAAGTCTGTTAGGGCTGCCCCTAATGACTGTTTTCATTATGGATTACTATGTTCTTTTATTTATTGTTTGGTTAATAATAATTTGATGCATACAATGTTAGAAAATAATACAAAAACAACTTAAAAATGCTATTTTGCAAAGGCCACGGTGACATATTCTCATGCTCAATGTGCTGGACAACGAACACTTCAGTAATCTGATTCTTATGAGATTGGTTACAGGTCAACAAAGAGGTCAAAAGCTGCATTGCTAATGTTACAGAGCTGCTGCACATTTTTCTTTTCACCTTAAACAGGTCTGTCTTAATCCCACAGCAAATGGTCTTCTATCTTTCCCCCATTTAATTCCCTTTTGAGCCAGGTTACTAAGTAACAGAAAAAACCTCATCAGATTGTCTGCTTGGTTAATTGGCAGACACATTTAAACGTGTGATCAGCACACAACAACATAGTTAATTAATAATCAACCAACAGTATTCAATAAATATAATATATGATGCTGAATTACATGGAATTGATGTGGGAAACATATAAAGTATTACATTTTATAAGCAAATAGCCTACAAATACATTGTTGGCTATGTGGTGTTGTCAGTCTGAAAAAGAAGCCTCTTATACCTTCAGCCAAGTCCAGTTGGCCTTGATATAACTCTCCTTGGATAACCATGACCTGATTGAATAAATGACATGTTTGGAAAACAGTTTAATCTAAAAAAGTTTCTGGGGGGAATTTTGAACATTGTGGTCTTTGTCATACTGTAAGCTGTGAGAACTGATCATCTGCAAAAGACAGAAAAACAGAAATGAACACAATATTCTCTTACAAACTACTGACAAATCAACAAGCCTCGAGGAAAGTCTGACATCCACCTTAAAACACAGTCTAAAGGATGTAGGGTTTTTTTTGTATATAGGCATAACGTTTGTTTTTGTGAGTAGCATAAAGGGAACTACAACTTAATCTCGTTATACAACCCGGTGTTGTAACAAGATAAATAAATATACTTTGTACCTTGAACCCAGTACCTAATTGTCATGTGTTTTTTTCTCAACGCAAATGCTAAGAAAATACCAGAGGAGGAGTTAGCAGAAGAGCAATGTGAGACTACAGAGAGCAATATGTTTTAATTCGGGGGAGGGGGCTTCTATTAATTAAGTTGGGAACACATCCCAATTTGGGGACAAAAGCTGTTCCCCACAAAGTAAACCATTTAATGATTGGAGTCCAGATTAAGTTAAGGTTAGCGGTTGAGTTAGGAATATAATGTTTGTAGATACAGTTGGGTGAATCTCTGAGGAATTAATGTAGCATGTGTGTACGTGGACTACAATATATAATTTAATTAACTATAACTGTAGTGTTCCTACGTGATGGCAGGGACATGGCAACGTGACAAAACTACTCTCCGGCGAACCACAAGCAGGCAGTAATTCTGCTAGATCAACAACTGGCTGAACAACGTGTCAAGTCACCAGCTGCTATCAGGAAGAAATGTTCCGGCTGAGCAACGTGGCTTACAAATAAGACAACAGACAAATGATATCTTAATGTGTGCTTTAGTTTGACATTTTTAGTATGTTGCAGGGAATTCGTTGTTTTTGGTTAATTTCAATGCAAAAGAAAACATCCTTTGTGAGTTTGCTGCGCTGCAGGAAATCAAAAGAAATAGTAGGCTATTACTGGTAGAATTGCCCGATGTTGTTTGATGTTGATTTTGTGTTTTTCTTGTTTTGTAGAGTAGCTTATATTTCACACATAACTATTAGAAATATTTAAAAACCACAATTATGCAGTCTTCTTTTTAAGTACTGTACGAGTGCTTTTATATTACAGCTAAAGTTATTAATTATTTGAAGATATTGTTATGCATATCATTGTTATTTACTTCATCAATGGTAAGAATTATTATTATAATAATGATTCATTGTTATGCACCAAAGCAAATTCCTTGTATGTGTATTGGCAATAAAGTTGAATAATAATAATAATAATAATAATAATAATAATAATAATATTAATAGTAAAATAACAAAAAAGGACCTGCATGTTTTTAGTTAGTCAATTTTGATGTCAATACTTTTTACTTTAATAAGATTTTAAATTAACGGAATGTTTTTAGTGACATTACATCTGAAACCAGATGGAAATCTTTTATTATGAAAAGCGAGTATTTCCGACCGGAAGTACGCATGTTTTTGTAGCTATTTGTTCAGTGGCTTAACAACAGTCAGACTCGCTCGGGGAAATACCGTGGCTTCCCTGAGAAGTTTTCTGCAACACGTTTTTCTTCATTTTTTTTTTTTAAACTACGCCTGACTGAGACATGGAGACAGCGGTGTACACGTCTGTTGTGAAGTAAAAGGAGGACATCTAACGGTAAGTGTGAATAAGAATGATCTTTACAGAAAGAACAAGCTAACGTTGCGTTAATATCACACAGATCCACAGAGCCGAACTTCCTGCTGTTCTTGGCTGACGATAAGCTAGCAGTGTTTTAGCTTTGTTAGCTTGTAAATTCTTCTCGTTAAAAATCCAGCTCGACAGAAAGCCTCTGCTGGCACCAGATAAAGTTGTATGACCGTTAAGGTTACTTAGTTAGATAAACCATATTGTCGATTTAGCCGTGTAGCGAGTGAGCAAACACCATATCTCAGCTAACTTAGCCAGCAACTCTTTGGGCGATTAAAGTTAGGAGATAGCTTCCTGCTAGCCAAATTTCTGTCAGCTAGTATGCTAACTCTGGTTAGCCAGGTGGAAAGTGTAAACAGAATATGGTCCTTCCTTTGCCGAGCGTCAGATGACACTTATGGTGCCTATTTCTTTTCCTTGTGAGTTATATTAATGTTGCCACTTCTTGTAAAATAAGCAATTTCTATTAAACGTGTGGTGATGCATTTTTTTTTTTCTGGATGTGAAATATTATACGGTTTAGGACTCTTCTTCACAATTTAGTTTACATTTACACGCTATATATCACTTGAACAGATCCAGATTTTACCTTTTCTGTTACTGTACATAGGGCTGGGCAATAAAACAATAATGATAACGTTAGTTTCCCTCAATGACAATATAACAAATGCTCAATAAATTCATTTGAATCACGAGCGAATTCGCACTTAATGTATCTTGTTATGTTATGTTATAATGTTATTTTGTTGAGGAAAAGGGACTGAATATATATTTAACTTATAGTTTACCATAAGTAACCATCTGTTTTCTTCAAATTTCATTCTGGAGCAAAAATCAGCCATTAAACTTGAAAGAAATAGTGATTTTATAATTGTCCTGATAATTATGGATATCAAATGATATGAATGTTATATCGTGATAACATTTTTGACCATATCGCCCAGCCCTAACTGTACAGTAAAATCATGATTCATAACATCTAGATTAGAATTAATATATCAAAAAGTATTATGTTATATACACAGGTAATTGACTCTAATGCAGTCGGGCATTATATTATATTTGGTTCGAATTTTTACAGTAAGATCTTTGCATAAAGTTTAAATTTAGATGTCTGAGTGTGTAGTACAATTCTGAGCCCCCAGTATTCAAACTTTATGCTACTTCATTTATATTTCAGAGGTAAATATTGTACTTTTTACTCCACTACATTTATCTGGCAGCTGTAGCTACTGCTTGCTTTGCAGATTAGGATTGAATTTAATTATATTTTTAAAACCTATTTATATATGATCCTTTAAAATACAATGCATTGATATACAGTAAATTAAGCCACATGGCAGTATATAAAATAAGTAAAATTAGCTCTACCTCAGTCTGCTACAATAAGTAAATGCTGCTTGCATGTTAATGCATCTGTAACAATAATCCAAATAGATGAAAATGTAGCAGTGACAGAGCACATTTTGGCATGTAATGATTACTTTCATACTTTTTTAGTTATTTAGTCTGGTGACTTGTCAATAAACATATGTATGCTTCAGTGAATGGAAATTCTCTCCTACAGTGTTTGGCTTTTGTCACTTTATAGCACAGTCACCAGTGTTTTACTGAATAGATAACCAGTCAATTGCAGAGTACAGTCCTCCCTTATTTACTGTGGGGACTTTTATAGCACGCATGCTAAATTAATCCAAGCCATAATCACTGGAGCTTTCTGTCAGTGAGTCAGTGCTTTGCTTTCTCCTAATGGCCTGTTACTGTTTAACTTCAGATTCAGTCTCAGACTTGCTGAATGTAAACTGAATGAAACTGCTTATGTTCTTAAATTTGTCTTAGCTTTAAAAGCAAATACTGACATGTAGAGTTATTTTATAGCATATTCCTTTATTTCATATAATGGTATTATGTCTTAATGTAATTTTTATAAGACATTTTGTTCCTGTGAGCAATCTTTGCCAATCAAAGCATTTTATTTATAAGTCCTATTTATGTAAAGCAGTGATCATCACCCCTCTATTATTGGTGTCACTGACAGCCAGACAGCAGCGTGTGACAGAGACCCAAGACCCGTGAGCTGTGGAAGTTAATTTCCCACCCTGCTGTGGATCGAAGCAAACATTAGCTCCTTTTTTGTTGCAATAATGCCTCCTATATTTTTCTTTTGCCTTGATGAAAGAGCTAGCAAACATTTGTGCACCAGGGACAGGTAGCAAACAAATTGACCTGCTGGTAATATTTGACTGCGAGGGATGGTTTTTCTAGTTTCAGTTGGTCTTTGTGTGTTTTGTTACGTGAGACCAAGGAGTATGATCACAGTTGGGTGCTATCTTTAAATTCCTGTTAATCAATTGTT